TTATATATGTATATAGATTATTGATATTTTGAAATAAGTTTTTAAAGTTATTTTTTGTAGAACATAGAACATAAAGAAGTAAAGCAAACAATTATCTCTTCTAGTTACGACCTTTGTACTCGGTTACTCCTAGACATAGGTTGCTAAGCCTGTAAAAATTTTACACGTGGAGGATATGAAACAATATTTTTTTTAGGTTTTATATATATATTTGAATAACTAAAAAAATCATAAATTACTACATCAACACCATATAATTCTACTATATTAAGCTTAGCAACCAAGTATTAAATTATGAGCAGACTAAAGACACAACCTATCTCATTGAAATCTTGGTTCAAAAGAAAAAAAATGGTGCTAGGTGCATTAGAAATGCTGAGAAAAGCACTAGGGGACATTCTGAGCTTCTGATTGGTTATTCATGTAATATATAGAAGTAAGTGTATGTAAGGGAGCATTTCCAAAAAAGGAAAGAGGTGGGTGGGGTGCCACTGTGTTTGATTTATTAAGTGAGCAATACCTTAGCAAATAGAAAAGATAAGACCTTATTTTATATTATAGCTTGTCAATATCTGTAACTTGAGTTTCTAATTCATATGAAACTATAGTCTTAGTATTTTGACTTCACAAACATCTAATTTGAACCAGTGCTGCATTCAATATACCACGTGACATACAAAAAACGATGTTTATCTGTTTTTTAATATTTACTTTTAAATTAACAAATTGAGTAATGTATAGTTCTAAAATTTGAATTATAATCTACAGTTTGATACCAAACTTATTGACATTATTTCATGAAATAGTATTTCAATAAAATTTTGAATGTGAGTCAACAAATGAGATGACGTGGCCTTTCACCTGTAACCAGTATCGAATGGGTTAATGCATCCTTGCAATAAATTAGACATGTTCTGAAGTTGAAATATTTCATAAAGGTAGTTGTAAGATTTAATATTTAAAAGTATTGAAGTCTCCTCAAAGTACACAAATATAACTAAAACTTCTTAACTGATATCCAATTTTACAGTGTTTAGGTGAGAAAACATACCACATTCAAAATAAAAATACTAAAAGATGGAACACATCAAATTGTTTCATGTCTCAATATTATTTTATTTTATTCAAAATAAAGCTAATCCGTTAACTGATATCTTTATATCGACTAGGGTAGTGGCACTTTCAGTTAGATAAAAACGTATATTACTGTCAGCAAGTATATTTGGCAGTGAAAAAGCAAAGAATGGACCTTAAAATGTTTTTGTGAGAAGTTATTTGTAGACTTAAACTGTAATTGGATTGTGATGTTGTTTTAACACTAACCAATTAGCTATTAAAGAAGACAGTAGAATAAGCCTTTTACAAAACATTTAAATATATTAATCACAGAAAGTTACAAATTTTAAAATATAGCTGGTAATTAACAGTCAAATTTTTCTAAAATTAAAATGCCTCAATATATTGTATGGTTCAAAATCAGTAATACCAACACACTGTGAAAAAGTCGTATAACAAATTGATATTCTTAAATCTCTCGCATGCAACTCCCGCCCTTCAGGTATTTATAAAATTTACACACTTGTTTCTGACAATAGATAAAACATTCTTTACAAACATCTACATGATTGACAGATTTTCTTCTTAGAAAAACAACAACTTTTGGCGGGTCCTTAGAAGCAGTTTTCTTGGGAATGGTCTTCAACCCAACTTTCGAACTATTAGATACAGGTTACTTACCCTAACCCATTCTAATCAGTCATGATCTGTGATTCATATCATCTGAAAGCACTGCAAAACCTATTAAAACTTTCCAATGGCACACTATAAACAGTAATCCTGGTATTTGTAAGTAGATTTCTTAACTGTTGTTCAAGTTCCTCTAAGTGTACCCTCACTATACATTCAGGGTTAATTTGGTTCTTGCTGCTGTTTTTAATAGATGACCACTGACAGTTTTCTTTGTGCCTTAAGAAAGGAATAATTTTTTGTTTATCACATGTATTATCTTCATTGTTCGTTTCCGATGGTAATGACATCACTCCCCAGCTAAATTTACTCAACATTTTGAGAGAATATACAGCTTCTAAAGTATTCTGATTCACCCTTGGTGCCTATGCAGGAAATAAAAGTTTTTATTTTCTTTTTTACACTGCAAGAATATAAATTTTTTTTATAGCAATCTTAAAGAACAGAACTCCATATCAGCATACTAAAACTAACTTTTATCTCAGTCACAGTTATTTGACGTAGTCTGTTAAGTGAACTCTACTGGTGTAATAATAATAATACCTTTTAGATAACATCCTAAATGTCAACCAGAGTTGAAATGGGAAGTTTATGATGAAGCAAGTATTTATACAATTTCAGTTATAATTTTGATTATTCATCCACTTTCCCATTAAGATGAACAATAGATAGAGGTCACTGTGCTCTTTACTCTTTAGTGCAATAAGCATTATTACATTGTGCTCCAAAATGAAAATTATGGCCAAAAGATAAAATTGCAGTATGCTTAAAGATTTATAATACCTACTTTTATACAGAACAAGTTAAATCACATTAGGTAGATTAAAAATTAAAGAAATTTTACAAACAATTCTTGAATCAAAATAAAACAATAATGCATTATACTAAAAAAATATCTTACTTGTTTATAGATGTCTGGCCACATAACTAGCTGACTTAGGTTTTGTAGCTTTTGTAATGCAGATCCCAAATTGGATGGTATCACAAAATACAATAGCTGGAGTTCCTCCAGACTTGAAAATAAAAAGTTAAAATATATATAAGTACTTAATGTAAGACACAATTGTGTTTGAATATATTTCTGATTCTTACATAACATTCACTTATTTTGAACTGTGTTCACTTAAACTTTTACTACTAGCAGAGACCCCGCAAAACATTTCCGGCCAAATTAGTATCTTTATTGTAACAGTACTTCTTTAAATATAACATTTCTAGCACAATACAAAAGAATTGTAATCGTAGACAATGAAATGTATAAATCCACTTGTATATAGGTTGTACTTTATAAAACTTTAATTTATGTTAGGCCTAAGTTCGATAAAGTGATAAATTAACATTGTAATCCGTGTACGTTTTTTTTTCACTTTAGTTTAGTTAGGACTAAACTTTACTGTACTTAATACTATTGATAAATAAACTTATAATGTTATTCTATGACTTAATGTCAATTTTTTTAAAAAACTTTGATAAGTTTTTAATATTCTGTTGTACAAAGTGGTTAGTAAAGTATATTTACATTCCCCTTTTGTTGTTACTTCTTGTTTCATACAGCAATTGTAGCGACTTGTTCACTGAGCTTTGCAGCTCTCTGTCGCAGACAGACTATTGTCGAGTGAATAATGCGCAAGCACAGTTTTTCTTGGAGAAACATTCTAACTACGCATGCTTATGCAGCAAGTTCTCGGTCAGAAAGCATAACGGTCGTACATACAAACAAGCAGAATAATAGTGTAGATTGTAAAGTTCAAAACTGAGCCATAGAAGTTAATTTATAGTATCAAATAAATGTACTTCATATATTAATATTATTAACCACAGTTATTGTGGAAATCATTATCAATAGGTTTCATTTAACACTTATAAACAGGTTTTAAAAACAAGCAGTCACAAATATTCAACTTACAGTGTTAAATTTGATAATGCATTCTGCAAGCCAGGATCATTTAACTGGCCTCCTTTTTCGAGTCTCAGTTTTTTCAGGTGTTTCAGTTTACCAAGACATGCATAATTCTGCAAGTAAAACAAATAAAGATGTGCATCAAAACATGTGGAATCATTATTGTGCACAACCAATATTGTAGATTCAGTTATTTTAATAATAAAGTTATGAAAACATTACAAGGTATTATTTAAATTGCTTTAATAACAAAATATAAAAACAGTGTAAATGATACAAACAAATAGTATTCCATCAAACCCCATATTTGCAAGGTCCAATGCTGTCAAGTTTATTTAAGTATTTTATATATTGGCTTTACTAATGTAAATTTTAGCCCTTTATTCTTTAATTTTTAAAACTTTTCTTTTATACCCTTCAATTTACACAATTTTTCTTTTTGAAGATGTACTGATCATGTGATCATTCTCCATCTACTATTCTAGAACAAACCTCACCTTCTTGATTGGCATTACAGTGTCCAGATGTGTTTTCACTCGCTTTCCATGTGACTACAGACATTTGATTGTACTTGATCTCACATTTATATCAGTTTTGACTTCCTGTGTGATTTCCATTGTTTCTACTCGTTTGTTTCAGAAATATTTCTGTTTTCCAAATTCTAAGCATAGAGTTTAAAGATAGTGTTTTACACTGTAAAACAAGTGAACACCTTCTAGTGATATCTTGGAGAACACATTAAATGAACTGACAAGTAGCCCCCCAGTGGCACAGCGGTATGTCTATGGACTTACAATGCTAGAAACCTGGTTTCCGATACCTGTGGTGGGCAGAGCACAGATAGCCCATTGTGTAGTTTTGTGCTTAATTACACACAAACAGACAACAAGTAATATTTTAAAACAAACAAGTGAACAGTTACAGAAATATCTCTGTGATGTCAATTCTCTAAAGTAAAACAAACATTTACCTCATACATACCAAAAAATTTACATACCTGAAGCTCAAAACACCATTTGTAGAAAGGTATTTACATTACACAATAACCCAACATGAAGTGAAATTTTTATTGGTGGCTTCTTTTGATAATTTTAAAAATTTTTACAACTGCAAATAGTTTCAAGTAAGAAATTAAATATGTTAACCACATTGCAAAATAAATATTTTAATTTTTTGGGAATTCTTAAACATGTATGCAGTTATAAGTTAATATTTAAGTCACCAAATTGTAAACCACCTTCAGAAACAAAATATTTCTAGTAGTTTTTCATATTCTAACTGTTTCACTAACTGAATACATATTTGAGTAGCAAGTAAAATCATCTGCCTTTTCCCACATTGCCATATGCAGAAAACACAACAGTATGATATTCAAACACAGAAGCACCAGCCTTTCACATATTACTGAGAGCAGATAAGATACAACATATGGATAGATGAGCAAGGTATACAGATATCTACATTCCATACATTATTACAAGCAGAAAAGACAACAGTATATGAGAGTCAGGCCCACACATTATTACAGAGTAAAATGCAACAGTCTGAGGATAAAGCCTACTGATACCTGCATTCCACAAATTATTAGGGACAGAAAAGATGACAGTACTAAAATTAGGCCCATAGATACCCAACTTTCACATAATACTACATGTACATACAATATATAAGCTGTGAAGGTAAGTGTAAAATCACCTGACTTTCATACATCAACATGTAGGTACAAGACGACATAGCACAGAGAGAATTAGGGTTAGAACTCTTTATCTTTACACACAATAACCAGATGTATACAAATCACACAACTGTTTGGAAAACCAAGTTAAAGACACCTGTCACCCACAAAATACAACACACTGACAAGCAAAGAACAGTGGAAAAGTTAGAATTAGAGCTGTCTACCTTCTAAATATTACTAGATATCCACAGGACTAAACAAAGTCTGCACTTTTTTTGTTCAATTGATTTGTTTAAAAAACAAATGCAAATATAATGAGGAAAGTTATAATTTTCTTAAACTGAAAACACATTTCTGATAGGTACTTATCTCTTTTCACATAAATAACTATTCTCGTTCAGTGCTGCCTTCTATATGCAAAAACATTTTTCATATGCCACAAGCCTTCATGCTCCCACGTACCTTACAATTGACTGACTCAAATGTGTCTCACGCACACTGATCTATGAAAGGGACACATAATTGCAAAGTGAGAAATTGATTGACTGATCTGGGAACCCGACATACAGTATCGTAAAGATGTCTTTGTAATGTAAACCATCTCACTCAGAAACAAACTGACAGGAACTGCACCTAGCACAGTAACATCCTCAGAATAATAAAATTGAGGGATAGAATACGAGGAAGAATGGTATTAATTTGCACAGTGACCCACAACACGGATGAAGGAACAAGGCTATAATTGAGTGAGGAAATAAAAACACCTGAAATACATGTGTGAGGACTTATGTTGATTGGTTCAGCTCTAAATCCAAAAATCAGTCACTGGGAACTGACATCCATGTGGGGGTAGGATGAGGAATCCCAATCAAAGGGGGTGAACTGCAGTTTTGATGGCTCACACCAGTGATACAAAGTGGAGGACATCTCGTCATCTATTCCAGCAGAATACCACCACCCTACTCGCCTCTGAATGGTCTTTATCATTTTATGTATATTTTATATATATCCTTTCAGTATCACATTCAGAAGGATACCTCCATGGTCCACCACCCCAGTGGCTTGGAACTGGAAAGTGGTAAGGACTCTCATACTCCACTGGAAGAAAAGGAGGGAGAAAGTGCACTGGAGAGTCCGGAGAAATGACAACACCTGAGACAGTGCAATGGGTGACCATGAAAACCACATTTTTAAAAGCAGACCACATCTGTTTTATTCAATCTACGGCATGGCAGGGATGGGCAGCTATCCCCTTCTGCTTTACCTAGGTAGTCCATGGGTGAGTACGGTCTGGAACGGGCATATTAACCCGATGACTACCGGCTACTAACTTTCTTAGCAGGCAATGCAAGTCTTGCTATATTTCATTCCAACAATAAAACTAGTGGACGAATATTTTCGAAAATTCATAAATACTTTGACAAATGTAGGTAGTTTAAGAAACATAAAGCCCATTACTTTTAATAAATTTAGTTTTTTTGCATTATGATCTTTAATATCTTGGAAAATTACATTAGGAAATCGTATTTATAAGAAATGATTACAATATTTATATTTGCCACAGATTTGAACTTATTACTTTTAATGTTTTAGTACATTATTTTGAAAGCCCCAAAAAATTGTATCATCCATAAAATGCAAATTTTATCTATTTTTATTTTTTTAATAATCACG